CCCTCTTCATGCACAAAACCTGCAACCGCCCTGTTCACGCACACAGTGTTGTTAAGTTCTGCCACAAACCCATCAAACCCTGGTGGGAAGGGCTGTCACTCCTTTGTCACTTGGTGATGGAAATTGCATCCATGTGACATGCTGGGTTGTCTGTTTCTTGGGGTGATGGGTTTCTGAGTGCCCTAATCTCAGCTGTCCCCTCCCCGTACCCATCACTCTGACACGGCTTGCTTGTACCTCTTTTTTCAAGGGAGAACCATGTTGTCCCACTGTCAGATACTGTTCTCAGAAGATATGTGCCTAAGGAAACCAACACCATCAGTTCATCTCCTTAATGTAGTTTCCTTGCAGTGCTCTTACAGAGGAGGGTTGTGCTGCACTCTCAGTTTTGCAGGTGGGATTTGACATGTAGAGACGCAGATGGACTTGGCCAGGGTCAGACGGGGAGCTGATATCACAGCAGGGAACTGCACCATCACTTCCCACATCACAGAGAAATGCCTTCCCCAAAGCATTTACCTTTCCCTCCGAAGCGCCTCTTTCTGAGCTACAGACCTCTCGTTCATGGATTTATGGGCACTCAAGCACACGGAGCTTCTTTGATCTGTCAAGGCATTTTGTCAGTGTCACATTTCCTTCATCGTTTCTCAGAGGGAAGTGGGAGCCCAGTGTGGCCCCAGGGTATGGCTGAGCTTTGGTGCACAGAGGGTTAAACCACATGGATTTTCAATGCAGGTCAGAGCGTCCTCCCTTAAACTGTGATATTCACTGGTTTCCTTTCCCTTTCTTTCATCTGAATGGGAGGATTGTACATTTACTCCCTCCATCCTTTGTCCTTGGTTTGTTTTGTTTTGAGTTCTAGCGAACCAGTAAAACAGAAAGGGCCATGATCGGTTCCTGCTGGGAGCGACTGGCCGTCCCGTCCCTGGGAGACCTTGCTCATGCTGGGCTCGCCTTTCGGTTTTTCTCTCAAATGGGCTATGATTTATGCAAGGCTTCATTGACAATAAATGGAGAAAGCCAGACAGGAGTTAAGAATTACAATCTGCCAGTCCCCCCCCCTTTCATTTCCCCCAAGCCCCCAGCAACTTTTTAACAACCTACAACCCTTTTCCGCTATGCCCTTGGCTGGGGAATACAGCAGACTGAATCATGAGCGACATGCTGAACTCCCCGTCTAATATAAATGTTTTACATTCTTTCCTGTATACTATGGGCTGTTATCAGGGCAGCCACCGCTGCTGGGACTTCACGTGCATTCATTACACACACTGCCTGGAGTCATGTTTGATGCAGGGCTTCTTTTCAACCCTGGGAACCTGAGAAAATACCTTATGCCACAGCCATTTTAGTGTAGTGACCACAGTTCAAGTTTACTTTGATTTAGTATTTGTCATCCGTGGCTTTTCTGGTTCTTAAAACCTAAATTTTTTACTTCTTGTGCTCCATTCAGAGTCTGTCCCATTTTGGCCAGTGAGGAATGTTGTTATCCAATCTCCTCTAGTTGTTTCACATACTCCCAATAAGTTACCAAGATTTATTCTGCCTAGACATATCTATTTCTTTTTATGTCTGCTTGCAGACACAGCAGCGTTAGTTAATTCAGCCCAGAGCAGACAGTGTTGGCTGCAAACACTGCAGAGCTACTGTGCTGGACGTGTGTTCATGTCACAGGGTCCCTGACTCCCATCTCGCCACAGTGACACCCTGGGGTGCTCCTTTTCTAGGTACACAGGGAGAAGTGAGGTCTCCCCTTGAACTGGAACATGATGTACCACCACAGACAGGCTCTTCTCCTGTTTCTTGAGTGAAAACCAGGCCGGAAATTTTGGCTTTGCTCCCCCTCCATCCTGCCGTTAACCAGCGCAGCAGGTGCAGTGTTTGCCTCTACCCGGCTTGTGTTGGCAGCACAGGCAGCTTTCCGCACAAGCTGCAATAACAAATGGCACATCTGTGATGGAGCGTGGGGTCTCGGGAGGGTGCTTGGTTTGTGTTCTGCTTGGCATGCTGTAATCAGGGTGCAGCAGACCATCTGCAAAGCACCACCAGGTTGGCAGGAAACAGAATCAGTGTATCTCATTTCATGACCCAGATTCCGTAGAGACTTCATAGGGTGGGAGCCGATGCTGCCATGGACAGTGTATCCAAAGTCCACTGCCTTTAAACCTGAGTTTGGGAAGGAAATGCTGCACCCCTAACCTCTCCAAAGTGTTTTTGAAATACTGTTGTTTTGAGTGGTAACAGCGCACACTTTTGCTGCAAGAGCAGGGGTCTCTGCCCTTCCGTAGGGGACTGACTTAAGGTAAACCAGAAACATCCTAAAGAGAGTTTCATCTCATTGCTTTGCTGTTCCTTCCTCTGCCTTAATGTTTGCCTTCCTCACAGCCTTGGGCTACTGGAAATTTTCAGTAACTGGAAACAGTTATCAGCTATGTATCTGCCCTTGTGTCTAATTGAAAAGATAATTGATTCAGCAGCCACTTCAGTAATGCCACCCAGTGGCAATCTTGCATATGAAAATGCCTGTTCTGCCTTTGGTTCCTACATTGGGTAATCTGCTAGAGATGAGCTCTGCTTTGCTCTCACACGTATGTTCTATGTTGCCTGATCTCAGTGAAATACTTGCACACCGGGAGTGCTTCAGCTTTGGACACAGCAAAGACCGTTTCAGTGCAGGTGTCAGAAGGCTTGGTAGCATCCAGCTCCTGATGGGAGAGGAGAGCTTTCCTGGTAGTAGCTGTCTTCCTGTGGTTAATCCAGTTTTCCATCAAGGCACAGTGGCATACTGCTTTCCTAGACCATCTCCGGAAGAATTTCTAACGTGAGCATCTAACTCCAGGCTGCAAGATATCCACTGAGCTCTTTGCCTTCTGCCTGGGTATTTTCCAAACACTTTTTTGCCCAGACATTGCTCCTGTGCCAGCGTGTGACAACGGCTCTCCGCTCCCGGAGCAGAGAATGTGCACGTGGCTGCTCCTTGGGAGAAGCAAGGGCAGCCAAGCGTCTGAGTGAAGCATGCTTTCCTTGAGCCCATCTGCATGCCCCAGTGAGGAACTCCTGTTTGCAGTGACATTCAAAGGATATTGTGCAGTTGCACCACGTGAGAAAGATTAATGCATGAAGTCTCCTGGCATTTGGAGTTGTCATCAGAAGTTACTCCCTGTAAAAGTCACTAGAGAGTGACCAGCAGTGAATCTTATGTCTCTGAACAGGGTCTGCTGAGCCTCATATATGGGAATAGCAATGGAGCTGGTTATTAGATGATAAAACTTCACATTGTGCATGTGACTTCATGAAGGCAGTTGCTGTGGGTGGCTGTAGAAGCTGCACAACCTGTGAGCAGCCTGCAGTCATGGCTGTATTCTCCTCTGTAGCTATGTGGTGTCTTTAACACTGTCTCACTGCACAGATGTAAGCTAAACCACAGCGATGCAGAGTTTGCAGATAGCTGCTCTACAAACAGCAGGCATGTCTCAGACCAGCCAGGAAAGGAGAAAGAAATGAAGCATGAACATGGAGAAGAAACCTTTGTTCTTCTTCTTGCTGTTCCTCGGGTAGGGGGATAGCGGGGTGAAAAACTCTCTCTTCTTTGAGGCCGTCCTCCAGAAGATTGGCTTGCTCATGTAGCTTTTTGCCCTGCTGTAGCTGTGCATGCTGAATGTTTTCTTGGGAGAGTGTTTCACGTGAAAACCTTCACGTTGAAGTGAAAGGGGAGGTGCTTTGCTAGAGAGGAAATTTCAATTTATTATGAAGGTTTCAAATGGTTTAAAAATGAAGAAGGGTAGGGTGATGTTAACACTGTTGGAAATAAAGTTGAGAACCCATTTCGCATCTCCTTTGACTTGTTCAGCAACCACCTCCCAGTACCAGTAAGGCTGCTACCTAAAGTCAGACAAGCCAGAGCATGGCTTAAATTGACACCACCCATGCCAACTATGGGCAGGTTATGAAGCGTTTCAACAGCATATGAATCCCTTTAGTTACAGATTCATTGGAAGATTTAAATAAAGATATATATCTACCAGTGACCCTTGCTAGGACTAGCGACCAAGCCATGGTCCAAGATAGCTTCTGAGCAGTGTGATAGATTTGCTGTCCCCTCTCTGGCTGTGCCCTCAGACCTTTATTTCCTACTAACATCCCAACAGCATGACACTGTCCAGGGCAAAACTAGTTTGCACAGGGGTTTGAAGCAGAGCAGTTCAGATTAACCCAGTGGAAATCTACCCCGGCAGTTAAAATGATGGTAACTACCAGCATCTGTGCAACACAGGAGCTCCCACTATCGATGGTCTCCAGGAAGCTGCACTGACATTTTAGGAAATACTTGCAAAACAAAGCCATGCTATGGACCGGGCCTTTCTATAAAACGTGCATAACTCGTCCCCTATGTTATATGTTGTGGCTCTTGCGGATCCTAGTGCTGCCGTTCCAGCTGGCCCCTAAAGCAGAACCAGCTGTGGAGTTAGACATTCCCATGGCCGGGAGCAACTCTGTCGGCTCTGGTAGCCAGTAGGAATTACTGAGCAGTATATGAGGGATGCTGCGCTGTTTCAGCCAGCAAGGTAGACCGAAGAAACTGTTTTCTGTCTCAGCAAATAAAACAGAAAATTAATTGTGCTTTTCTTTCCTTAGGGTCTAATGGGATTCATTGGTCCAGTAGGGGAGCCTGGAATAGTAGGCGAAAAGGTAAGATTACTTGCAGCGAATTGGTTGTTATAACTTTTGCAGCGTGAAGGAGACTGGGACGGGGGTAATATTGAAGAGATTTAAATTGCCGTGTCAGTGCAACACCCAGCTGGGAACGTAGCACTTCTAGAGGGTCTGAGCCAGTCTTAGGCCAGTCAAAAATGATTCACTTCACATTTAGGAATTAGCACCCGCTCATCCTTCAAGGAGATGCTGTCAAATATTCTCTGAAAAAAAATTATTTAAGTTGCATTCATTTGTAATCTTCCAGAAAGCTTGCATTTAACAGTTCCTCCTGTTTTTTCTCCATCCCCCAATGCTGGGAGTCAAGGACCCAATCTGCCCTGAATTCCTGGTCAAGGGAGGAATCCCTGGAGTTGAGGTTACAGACGGATTTGCTCAGAAATGTGCTCCCAGGCCCACGCTGAGTTGCCAAGGGGTTGCAGAGGACGGGGCTGAGTCCGCACTGACCAGGAGTGCTTAGCAAATTCTCAGGTGCAGAGAAAGTAGGAGAGTGCAGCCATGTAAACAAGCACAGGCTGGTCCAAATTCTTCCCTATTTGAGAAGGACCTTCCTGTCCGCATGCCCTTGGGGTTGCACTGGGCATGCTATTAAGGGCTGGTGCCCTCTTGTGTACAGTCTAGATACATGCTTCCTTCAGGGAAAAAAATGACTTTATTCTCCATAAAAAGTAAATGACTGTTAGTTCCTTTTCTATTAGAGGGTAAAATTTTATTCGGGGGTAGCTTCTAAAGACAAATCGTCTATGTCATTTGTTATAGTTCAGTTGCAGAGTGCTGCTTTTCATTGGTGGTTTAATTCTTCACAGTTCAGCTGTAAAGATAGTAAAAAGCATAAAATGATGTGTTCCGCACATCAGTTCTTTCTCTCTCTTTTATTACTTCAAGCCCTGTCGTCCAGGTAATGATGTCAAGACTCTATGACAGTTACGCTGTGTTCCCTGCAAAGGCATTTTATTTTTTGTCAGCAGCAGACCTCGGAAAGCTCTTTGCAGGAGCTGTTCTCTGTGTTAAGGCAGTAACAGAAGCAGGCAGAGTCCAAAATGTCAAGGCACACAAGAAGTAAAAGGAACTATGTGGTGTGGGCTCCATTGTAGAGAAGGATAACAGAGGAATAAAGAGTCTGTGATGTGTCCAAAGTGGTTACACAGAAAATCAGTGCCTGACTGAGCTGTCTCTAGAGCTCAATGGCAGCTGCAGCCCTGAACTGAAGGGGGGGATGAGGGTCTGCCGTGCTAGAGGCGTCCTCCTCCTGCCCCAGTAAATCCACATCTGATCCTATGACTTCCATGCCAATGCTTTCACCACAAAAAGCACCCTCATGTTGCAGATCGACTCTGTAACGTGACCATGTTGCATCAGTATCAGGGCAAACTCAGGCTGTCCTCTGAAAATCTATGGTCAGAGAATCCTCAGCACAGCTGTGATTTCTATCAGACTTCTCCTCGACCAAAACAAACTTACAGATGACAAAAATAACTATCATCAAATCAAAACTGCAACCAGGCCTCCAGTTGGCATGGCGTCCTACAGCTTACTACGTTGCTGTGAGCTAAATGAAGTGGGAAATATGCTTTCATTAGACATAGCTGAGTCAGCAATCTCCATCCAGAAAGCTGCAAAACTTAAGGCTGAAGCCAGTAGAATCCAAAGTTTATCAAAGAGAACAATACAGCTAATACTTAATAAAATCCATGCATTCAGAAAAAACAAAAATCTTCATTGGTTTACAAGGGCTAACTGGTGACAACGCACACGCTGGGGTTTGTTTTTAATAAGATGCTTATAGTCCAGAAAATATTCCCTCCTTACACTGTAGCTGTTGGAAGGTAGGTCAGATTTTGGGCGTAAACTACTTGGCACCATTTGCTAACTCCTCCTCCCTCATCCCCCCCCAAGCACACAAATGTAACACACCTAATTCCCAGTGCATTACTGGGATTGCAGGAGAGAGTACAGGCAGTGGCAGTGGGAATTGCCACCCTCTCCAAGAAGGAGTAGTTGACAACTACTAGAGCTGTGCCTGTGACTCAGCCTTGTGTCAGCGAGCCGCAACAGTACTCCCCAAGGCTTACACCTCACCTCTGGCTCTTGGCGGATCCGAAGAGCCAAAGATGTATGGAGAGGAAGTGAGCTGTTCTGTACCTGGGGAAAAAGGAAAAACTTTTCAGAATTAATAAGAGATTTTTTTGTACATTAATTTTTTGAGGCCAAATGGTGGCTTTTTTTAAAGGGCTGGTATCTTGAGGGTGGGAGCTGGACCATGGAGGTATCTAGCTCTGGACCCTGCAACAACACAGGCCTTCAGATCATGCTTGTTTGCACTATGGTCACATGTGAACCGTAGGCCAGGCAGTCCCTGTCCCAAAACACTTACAGTCTCCTGAAAGAGACGGTAGATTGTCCATCTATTCCAGGCAGCTTCTCTGCATTCTCCGATCTGCTTCCTGCTCACAGCTTTCAAATCCAGGTCTCTGAAAGCATTAGAGCGCACAGGGATTACGGGACTGCCAAACAGAGAGGCACACAGCGCCTCGGGTGGGAAGGGCTGGAGATCTCCTGGCATCCAGTCCCAGCACTGTCTTGAGTAGAAGGTGGCTTTGAATGAATTACTTGTTTCTTGTTCTGCAATGGCTTGAGGACAATAGTAAAGCCCTGTCTCTTGGGATACAGACAGTTAGCTAATTCTTGCTGCCATTCTTTAACTACTCTGATGAGGTGGTTACTTGAAATAGGGGGATTATTTCTTTCTATTGGAAGCTTTTCTGGTAGAAATCTGATGGCATAGACTGCAATGCGTGGATCTGTTAGTCATTTTGTTGCTCCAGATCCCTGTTGCTGTCAGCTCGGAGTGCTTGTTGACAAAGTTACCAGCTCTTCCCTGTGCACCTTTGTCTTTCCCAGGGTGACCGTGGCTCGGTGGGACCCCCAGGCCCTCCAGGAGTCAAGGGGTCGATGGTAAGGAGTAAGTCTGCATTCTCTCGCTCTTGCTGCTGCCTGTCAGATCGGGCCCTGCCTCTCTCTCTGCCCTAGTGAAGGGTACAGCTCCTCCTGGTCTTTTGATTAAATGAGAATAGCTGCAAATTCTTCCCATCTCTGTGGACGGGGTCTTTGACTGACTGGGTATTCAGGTATAACCTCTCCCTATCACTGAGCAATCTCTCCTTCAGAGAAAACTTGGCTTGTAATTTGTGCTCTGCACCTTCAGCAGCTGAGGACCTGTTGTGTCCAACAGCAATAACTAGGAAATAGAACACCTGAAGGATCACCCGTTTCCGAGCTTCCTGGCCACTGAAAAGACGGGCTCCTAGAGCAGGGATTTCCAGACCTCCCTTGCTCACATCCCACCACACTACCAGTGGCAGCTGGAGATGCTGGGTTGCTTGGGCACCACTCCCATACCACTTTGCTGTGCTATGGGCACTGCTGTTTGAGGACACCTCTTAGAGTTTATCAGAGGGCACCTCACACCCTGTGTGCCACAGTGCAAGACCCAAAGACAGATTTTCACATTTAGCCCATGCTGACCTAGAAAATCTAGCTGAGCTAGAAAATCTAGCTGCTTATATTGCTAGCAAAGTTGGACTGGGGCTGGGCTTTAGACACTCCAGCCTTCATCACCTGCCCCCTGAGCTCTTTTTCCCTGGCAACTAACAGACCTGCCTGACCTTTCAAGCAACCAATGGTCCCATTCTTCTTCCTTCCCAGTTGGAGGAAGAAGGATTGAGCAGATCAGAGGAATTCACGCTAGGTGTGTTGTGCTTACTTCCCTTTTAGGGGCACCCAGGAGTACCAGGGGGAGTGGGTTTTCCTGGAATCCCTGGACCAACGGTAAGTAAAGACTGTAATTGCCTTGTAATACCATACACCAACATCAGCATCCTGTATCCTGGGCATTCAAGGTCTGAGTCAAGCAACCGTGTCCCAGCTGCTTTGCGTTTGAAGGACAGTTTATGAACAAAGAGATACTGGAGAAGGAATGGGGCAATGGGTCGAGGGGGAGCAACATGGAAGGAGATGCTTAAAAGAAAAAAAAAAAGAATGTTTAATCTGAACCTAATGGTGTGGTCCAAGACTCACGATCCAGCCTTGCTCTTGTAGCAGGACACAAACTCTCTAGCTCAAGGCGCTGTTGCAAGGTCCCCTCTGCTCTTTCTGCTGGGAGCTGCTGACAGTACCATGGCCACAGCATGCAGCGCAGTGACTGCATCATGCAGTGTGGCAACTGCATCAGGCCGTGACTGCATTGTGCAGTGACTGCTTCGTGCCTTTTCAGAGCCCCTCACTGGAATGAGTGGGGGCAGGAGAGCAGCTGCCCCAGACATGCCCTCCATCTGGAAATGCTCATCTGCTAAATGTGCAGCTGTGGCCAGAGCGTGCAATTGGTGCGGAGGTAGATCCTAGTCTGGCTCCAAATTCTCACAGCCCTTGTTCAGACGGTGCTCTGGCTCTCCCAGCAGCGCAAATGCCACTGCGTGAAGGTGGTGCGTGTCACTTGCTGGAACTGGTAGAAAGGCAGCTCTGAGGGGCGGGTACGAGGAATGGATTTCGCTCACTGTGTGAATTCTCACAATGTGGTTAATTGGGAGGAAGATTGCTGTAGTGAGATGCCTGGGCAGTGCCAAGGGTTCAGCCTCCGGATTAGTGGCAGCTCTGCCCACTGCAGGGAGCTCAGCGATGTTCTGGGCACTGTCCCTGCCAGCTGCAGCCAGCTGCCGGCTGGGGAGAGATTTTGCAGTTGCAAGCCTACAGAGGTGAAGGGAAGGGTCTGAGGTCAGGCAGCACCTAGGGGTGCCCTGGGCAGCAGTGACGCTGCGCTGGTGGAGCAGCCATTCAACAGCCCCCCTTGCAATAATGGGGGCACAATGCTGCTCGCAGCCCCCAGCAGTGAGCTGCTGTCTGGCCCCTTATAGCAGCACTTGTGCTCACTGTTGACACAAAAATTAGGAGGGGGATGGATGTCTCTAGATGTGCTTATTTAGCAACTTTCTCAGTCCATCAGCTGATGTATGATTTGGGATGTCCAGAGCATTAAGCGACTGCCCTGCTTACTGCATGCCTGTGGGGCGCTGGAGAGGACGTGAGTCCATCTCAGCTGAGGCAGGTTCTGCACTAGACCTGTGGCAAAGAGTTTCCCGTTCCTGAAACACTAACTAGTGTACCACTAACTAGTACTTTTAGTTAAGGTTGAATTTTGTCTTGCCTCGCCGGGGCTTGATAATAACAGGGTGAGTGAAGACATCAGCTCTGACCAGAGATGCTGAAACCTCTGTGCAGAGCTCTGGGAGCCCCCAGGTCACTCAGCTTCCTTTGGTGCCCTGTTCTCCTGCAGGAAAATAACCAGCAGGTTCATCCAAGCAAAACGTTTCCTCCAAGAGCGTATTTTAAAATGTCATAATTCAGTAAGTCAAACTTCCCAGCAAGGCCAGTAAATCAGATAATCCCCTAATATTAAATCCCTACTCTTATTAACTCCAGCTGTTTCTGACTGTTTCTCCACCAAACAACCCTTTCTCATTTGCTTCTTAAGCCAGACCTGTGGCATGCTGTTGTTGTTGTTTGTATTCAACTTCAAAAATCTTCAGGGGACGAAGCAATCAAGTGAGCCTCAGCAGCTCTGGTGGCTGGTTAAATCAATAAAGGGTGATTGGGAGTGGGAAGCAAAGGTACAGTAAATGGTAGGAAACTCTGACCTCAATTTCAGCTCGCTGTGGCTTGTCCTTGAAACTCCAAGTGTGGAATCTAGTTGCTTCCCCCCCATATTTTTCCATCACAATGAATGTTTATATGCTTGTTTTTTCCTAAACTATTTGGGATAGGCAGAGACTTCCAGTAGAATATTCCAAATACCAACAGAGTATTCATTTCAGTATGTGTTTATCATAAAAATCCCTATAAAATATGCATCTGACACATCTGCTCCTTGTCTGTGCCAGTCACTACTGACCTCACCAGCAAAGCTGAGATTTACTATGATTGCAAATATAGCTACAGTACAACTAAGTAGATTCTTTTCCATCTTGAGTGCTAACAGCTAAGCATTTGTATTTGGGACTTACACGTCGTGCAGAATGATAGCTCAGTTCCAAAAGCAAAATCCTTATTAGTGGCAGTAATACAAGCAGTAGGAAGATCACAGTTCAATTTTGTTCCGATCCTTCGTGGAATTTGCAGGGTTGTCAGTTGGCAAAAGCTATTTATATAAAAATAGCAAAACTGGATGTGGAATTTTTGAGGGAGTACGACTGGAATGTGTCATTTTGAGTTTTTTTCTGACAGCAGAAAGGCACCAACTTTAGGTACAGTTTTTAGAGTTATAAAATGGAAATAAGTCCTGTTAATTGAATGCATCCTTTAATTTTTGAAACTCATACATACTGTAGCAGAAGAAAGGTCATTTAATTTTATTCCAGATTTCCTGTTTGAATGTTAATGAATCAAGTGTGTACAAGTCCTGGATAAAAGAACCTGAAACCTCCGTATATGTATGAGAAGAACAGGAACAATTCTCAATACTGACAGGCTAAATGAAATTACCATCTGTCTGCCAATATGAATATTTGTACAGCACTAACAGTACAACACTTACTTGAAAATAAAATCAGTGCTTGGCTGAAAAGTTTGAGCTTGAATGCACCTAAGATGAGGTGTCTGATCTTGTATTTGGACAACTGAAAAACAGATCCTGGTTATTATTATTTTTGTACAGCTGCTTTTAATAGCTTCAGAGGGAATTGTTGATGTTGAACTTCTCTTCAAATCATGCCACTTAGATACTCGAGCATACAAATCTCGGCCAGGGTCCTTGGCCTGAATGGTGATAATCCAAAGACAAGCAATGAGTCCAAAAAAGACCAGTTACAGGCAAACAAATATGGTGATGCCTTTGGCAGACTTCAGTGGCCAACCTGCTGGTCACAGGTCTGCGTCTGAGGCTCCTGCAGGCCACGTGGTGACACGGGGTCTTGACAACGGCTGCTGCCTTCCACCTTCTGCGTCTTCAGTTTGTTTTCTTTCCCCCTTCCAGGGTCCGGCAGGAGTCCGCGGTGCGCCAGGGATAAGAGGGATGAAAGGCCGCAGGGTAAGCGCTTTCTATGAACTCTTACCTCTCTCTTCTTTCAGCCGGCTGAAGAGCAATCTGGTAGAGTAGTTCCCAGGTGTGAAGATGAGCAGCAGTGGGGCCAGCACCTATGCAGTCGGTTTTCTGCTGCATAGGACGGCTGCGCTTATCGAAGCAAGTCTTACCAGGAACATGAATGCAAGTCATGTGCATGGGCAGAGGCGGGTGTCCAAGCATAGCGTGTCTGGGAGAGATATCCAGGTTGTGTTTTCCAGCCAGATGCAGTGTCAAACAGGTGTTATGGGCACTTCTGGTGAGGGTGATGAAGATTTAGTCTGATGAAGGTGGATCTGAGCTGGGGAAAGGGATGTAGGTAGAAGACTAGAAAAGGTGCCTTTGTTGCAAAGAGACAGAGAGCAGCTGAGAGGCTGAAGTGTTGTGATTTAACTGGAGGCAGCTAAAGCAGGAAATGTTACGCCAAGAAACAGAATTAAGAGCTGAAGCAGAAGCAATGGCGCTAACAGACAGCCTACTCTTCCCATGTCTGCCATTTCCGTCTCACTGGATGTTGTACCTTTTGGCAAAGTTCTGCAGGCTTGTGGGAAAGGTGGGTTTTTGCGTAGTGGATGGAGCAAATTACAGCAGGTCCTGTGTCCTCCCACGTGTTTGTCCAGCTGGTAACACAAGGCCTTGATTTTATCTCTAGGTTTAAACAGTACCACACTGCTAAAGTATGTGTGAATCCTCATTCTGCCTTGAGACGACAGGCCCCCAGCCTGGCACTGACTCATGATATTAGCTAGCATCACTTACAGCACTACAAGTATATGGTATTTCACAGGCATCCTGTGTCAGTTAATGTGCAGTTCTTCCTGCTCTGAGTGACAGCTGATGTTAGAATTACCACTAGACCTGCCAAAGCTGCTTACTTTTCTGGCTGTGATATCCAATCCATATCCCACTGAGCTCCTCGATCTTCCTCCTTCTTCAACAGGACATTGACTGCAAGATCATCTCTGCAGCTTTGGGTTGTTTCCGCTTGCACAGCTGGTTTACAAAGTAGTAATAGCAAGTGCATATGGGTTCTGCTGAAGGCCTCAGCGACAATATATTTTGCCTTTCTCCCTCCAAGGATCTTATGAGATTCATTTCCATGTTTCATTTTCAAAGATGTAGGCTGGACTAAACTAATTTTACCCACCCCCAGTCTACATTTCTACCACAACTCCTGCTTGTTGTGGACAGCTAAGGTTTACATATGTTTTTCTATACTAGAGCTAATGCTCTCTTCAAATAGTTGGGACTGGGCAAAAGGAAATGGAATAACCAACTAGAAAGCTTCATAACCACAGAGTTATGTACCCTGGAACTGTTTTAGGCTTTAAAAGCACAGCTAGAAGGACACCAAAAACATCCAAGCCTGGCAGATGCATATCAGGATCCAGCTTTTAACTCGTAGCTAGGGAAAAACAGCTTCCTTGCCATTTTTCCCTTTGGTGGGAAGGCCCATGGCTATCACTCTCCAGCTCTGCTCTCTGAAGCTCCCCTGGAGACCTGAGATTTCTCTGTGTTACACAGCAGCAATTAATTGAGCAGTTTGGGATATCCATGAGCATGACGGATGAGAAACTGGAGATGCTCTTTCACAGGAAACTTTGAGTGAACTGGGAAAATATCTCAAGGTAAAACTACAGCACAGAGCTGAATGGGAAATGCCTTCCGAATGAGTCCCAGGCTCCCTAACTGTGTGGGTTCTCAGAGAGGTGGGTCCTTGGAGAATATCAGATAACTTCTGCCAGTGCCTTTAATGTATGCAGTGACAGAGTCGCAGTCCCAGCACTGCCTTTTCCCATCTGCCAGCATGGGATGCGAGCTGCGTCCCCTGGCACCAAGCCTGTCCTTCCAGCAGGCGGCCATGTGCAACGGTGGGATTTGACTCCTGGGTTGTATGAGATTCACTCACACAAATCCTCTTTGGCTTCTTACATCTGCATTGGCCTACAGTCCCTGAGCCACAAGGAGAGTACAGCTGACTGGGACGTTTTCAGCTCCACTCATACTGTCAGGACTGATGAAGGAGATAGATACTTATTTTCACACTAGGTGAAATACCAAGAGCAAAGGTGGATTCAGCTCCTGAGAAAGGAAGTTGGCTGGCACAGCAGGGACCTGCCTTTAGGTATAGCCAGAGAGAAGGTGCCAATCCCTCAGGAGCAATCCCAGAGGACACCAGCTCTCACTAGTGCTGTCCATCCCCGAGGTGACATGCCACATGTTAGAGAAGTTCAGCTCAGCAGCCTTGGATGGCGTTTCCTCTCCAGGTGTTGAGTGCAGCACACTGTGCACCATTCATTTCCCCTGCACGTTCCTGCAGCGAGGAAGCCCAGACTTCCCACACATCCAAGCCCCCAAAACTGGAAATGGAGTGGTTTCTCTATTCCAGCTGGCTGTAGACCCCTGCAAGAAGTCACACTAGGAAGTGCAGAGCATGGAGACTGAACAGGACCAGTGCCTCATGAGGAGATTGCGTTAAGGTCTTGATCTTGGCCTAAGGACATCAGTACCAGCAAGGAGGTGAGCCTCTGTTGGCTGGCATTGAACAGCTGGATCAGCTACCAGTGCCCTTCGTTGCTCCTGCCTTTCAAACCCACTGCCAAACCATCGTGTGGCAGATTTTGGTAATGGACGAGATGTGCACCAGTCAGTGCCTTTGGGAACCCTAGTGATTCAATCTTCACAGAATTTGCAAGGCAAACAGACAGACATCCTTTTAATAAACCCAGCAAAGTGGGTATATATCCTTGCTCTGTAATTCTAGAGACTTCAGTAAATCTAGTGTAGGAAGGCTGGTATTGTAAGGACCATCACAGCTCCTGCCTGGAGTTCTTGTTTCTATATCTCTCTCTTGCATTTTCTTTCTCTCTCTCTCTCCTGTCAGAAGCTTTTCTAGACACGTGGAATTCTTTTTTTTTGCTTAGTTTGTCGGCTGTTCAGGCTCTTGGTTTTCTCAGGATGGGGAAATGATTCCCCAACTGTAATTTCAGACATTACCCTTTGCACCATTCTGTCTATCCCAGTTTACAAAAGAGATCTGATTCAATTCAGAGTGGAAACATTAATGCAGGCTCCACCAGGTGTTTGTGGATTCCATGAGCTATGTTTGTGGATGTTTCGTTAAAGTAATTTCACTTTTGAAGAAAACGTAAATAGCAAATATGGTTTTGATTGCACAGAACAATGGATTATTTTGGGGGTCTGTATTTAAGATGTGACAGCTTTTGTGTTGTCAAGATATAAGTATAAATTTTAAGAAGAAAACGCTTTAAAAATTGTAACTTTCTTTTCAGTCATGACGAGACTTTTGTTCCTTCCCATGCTCATCAAACTGATACTGAGCAGTCTTTGGGCACCAATGGAGTTTTCCCCTGTCCTCTTTCCGAAGGACAGGAAACTTGGACATGTGAACCCAGGCTTGTTTCTCTTCATCCCTGTTCAGCGTAGCACTTAGTCATGGGCTTAACATTCAGCTGATGTCAGTTATGCACGTACTTAAACCTAATTTTTAACTGAATCAAGGTTTAAATTTGGAGACAGCTGATGCTGCCAGTGCCTTACCCTGTGCCAGTTCTCCCTCTCTCTGCACAGGCTGCCCCCACGCAGAAAGCCCGCAAGCTGGTTTTCCACCAAAGTGTTTGAAAGGATCTTCCTTGGAGAGAAGGCAGGGAGATCCCTGTCCCCGACGGCAGCAGCACCGCTGGCAGAAGACCATGGGGAGAGCTTTGGATTGCTTCTGGTTGGAAACATGACTCTATTTACATTCTCTAGTACTCTTTGACTTGTGTTGGCGGAGTGCAGCACATCACTGAAGGCACTGTGATTGATGGACAGTATTGCCGAGGGCTCTTGCACCCAGGCAAAGCCGGTGGGAGATGTGGGAGCAATGAGCCTCCAGATGTTTGGCAGCTTTTATGAAGGTGCCTTTCTTCAAAAAGGCTGGCTTTTATCCAAACCTATTGCTACTTCACAGCTTCCCTGAGTCTGCTTTGCTCAAAACAGTCTTCTCAGCGACAGCCTCCAAGTCTGTGACTTACTGAAGACTCTTCCTCACACCATCAGTCCTACCTCCCAGACACTCCCAGGACAGTGTCAGGGAAAACAAATCGTACTTTGCAAATGAATCATCAGAGCAGAGCGTTCATAATATATTCAAAAAGCTCATTTCTATTAATCAGCTCCTTGCAGCAGGAACAGACCTGGCCTCCAGCATCCCCAACATAAGCTCAGCCCAGATGCTGACCGAGAATCCCCACAGGAGGCTAAATATCCACTGGAGCCATGACTGTACAACGCACCTCGCAAAGCCCCACCTGAAAGCTTTCTGACAATCCTGTCCTGCCCTTCTGGCCAGGTGTTGTCAATATTCCCGGGCTTTTATCCTCTCGCTGGAAGGGGTGCCGTGAACTGACTCAGGTGACTCAGAGGAGCTTTTCAAAGCCCTGAGCATATTTCTCTCTTCCACTGTGCCACTCAGTCATCAAGCTCTTGCATTAACTGTTTCCCAAGCAGAGCCTGCAAGACAAGATAATGTGCGCACATGTGCAGTGCCAGCCTTCTGCCATTCTATCTGGGCGCAGGACCACTGCCGGTCTGACACAAGATGTGGTGCTTTGCAGCCTCACTGACTGCAAGGATTTGTAAGCTCGAGGAATTTGTGAAGTGGTGTTATCTAAGCATACCTGAAATTAGTTGCTTATGCCAGGATGGTTGAGAGGTTGTTCATGGAGAAAAAGCGGAAGTGTATTGTTTTGCTCCCAGGGATCTTTCTGGTTGGCTGAAAAAGCATTAGAAGTGTTTAAGGAAAAGTTAGCTACAGCTCTGTAAGATCTTTGAGGTAGGTGAGTGTATTGGAAGGGAGGATCCCTTAAACTCCTTTAAGCAAAGGAAATGACTTTGATTTCCCTTGCCCCATGTGTTGGATCATTTGGGTTACCTCTATGCAGTCTCCATAGGATGTCCTTCCT